GTGTGTTTGTGTGCAGATGTATCTGTGTGTGAGTGTGCGGTTGTGTGCGAAGTTGATTTGTTTTTCACGTTTTGCGCGCTCTTGCTGGAAAATTCATTGGCGTTGCGTTTGGTCTTTTATTTAATTTGAAGGTTTCGGTTTTTCGGTCTCTCGCTTTTCCGTCTTCGCCTGCTCAGCACAATTTCTGTCGTCATTTTATTTAATTTTGTGGTATGTTTGCGACAGCGTGGCCAATTTCGTTTTATATGATTTATTTCACCTCTGCCCAGAGGCTATATACATATATATGTATATTTAGATGGCACAACAACCGGTTGGCGTAAATACACAACATAAAACTCCTTTGAAGTGTATTTTATTTATTTATAATTTCTTTTGACCTGACAGCAGCCGCATCTCGAAACAACAAAACTCAATTGTCTAATTGTAAACGAAATAGATACTGAATAAAAAAAAAATATTAAACAAATCATTTAAAGTGCGAATTGCCCGAGTAGCAAGCCGCTATTTCACACCCATTTGCGGAAGGTATTGTGCTTTCAATTAGGCGCGGCAAGTTCGCTGTCTAAGTCTTTTGATTTAGCGACATTGGCAAGGCATCAATTATGCCAGCGCTCACACAGGCACACACACTCTCACTCGCACACAGACAGACGACAATTTGATTGAACCCGTCAAGCGTATGTTGTTTCAATGTTAAGGTCTGACAACAATATGCAAATGCCAGAAAACAAACGTCAACAACAACAACAAAAGTAATACGCACTATAAAATAATAAATAAAAAAAAAAAAAATGAGAAGCGAAATAGCGATTGTTATTTGCAAAGACTCACCCCCGAATTGGCTATCAAGTTCAGCAAAAGCATGCCATGCATAAATAAGCAAATTGTTACACATTTTGTTGCTATGCCGGAAGCAGAGACGCTCGCTCGAATATCAAAATATATCTATATACATATACATACATATATCGGGCAAAAGCTAAAAGTGAGATTCGGGAGAGAGAAAAATAAATAGAGAAATAGAGAGAGAGCTCATCTCCTTAAATAGAAAGTGCCAATGGAGTATGCTTGTTGTTCGTATTTCTTCTCATAATTATATTCGTCACAGATTTTTGTAAATCGCATCCTCTTCTTCTTCCTCTGCTTTTTCTTCTTCTTCACCTCTTTTCGCCAGCCCTTATAAACGTCACCGAGTTGCCTTCGAGCTAGTCTTGAGCGATGCTCATTTCGTCTATTTGCTGTTGCCGTTGTCGTTGTTGCATTTAGGTAAATAGGTCAAATAGCTGAGCATGTTTGTAACTGAAAGAAATTTCAAAAGATTTAATATGCATAAACGATTTTGCTCTCTTCACATTTGAACATTGTTAGCCATAAATACCCGCAGTTAACTATATTATATAGAAACACTCAGAGACTCGGCGCTCTGTCATTTTGTTTTAAACAAAATTAGCAAGCGAAACGCAAACCTAGCAAAATTATGCAAATCTTGAAAATGGGCTTTTGCCTATGTATATATGTACATGTATAAATATATATATTAATAGATGTGTATATATTTATTGTATACATGCAGGTATATAAGTAAATGAGTGTTAAGGCAGATTCACGCGCTCATTCGCGAGCTTATCCACACATACATGTATGAAACAGACCTTTAATATATGCCCAGCCCCAATCACGATCCTTACGCTTCATTGTGCTTTGTGCTGTGGCGAATGCATAAATGGAAATCGTGTGATATAATAGGCATACGCATTCGAGCAGCTGTTGAATTGAAAGCCCATAAAGCAGTGCATACCCTATCACATATGATCATAGACAAGCCTGATAGGAAACAATTATTTCTAGCATTTCAATGCGGAAGATTAAAGTGAGACATATATAATATTAATGTTTTTATCTAGTAGTAGCTCACATACCATATTTGTCATCAAAATTGATCGATATTAGGTACATCAATAGAAAATATCAAATGGAATTCATGTTGCGTCATTCTTTTTGTTACAAACAAAAAGTTTATTTGATTTTTTGCCTCTTATTTTCGAAATTCAATGAAATTATAGTATATAAATGATATGGGTACAGAAGTAAATTGACATTTATTTCATATTTGATAAAAATAATAAATAAATAAATAAAAAAATTAAAAAGTTAAAAATTACTGAAAAAAAAATTCAAAAAGTTCAAAAAAACACATTCAAAAGAATTCGAGATGAAATTTAGATTTTAGAATATTTATTCTATAAGTAATTTTGAATTTATTTCATCAAACTAAAAAAAAAATCAAAACAAACAAAATTGAAAAGCTTTGTAATAAAATGTCTATTTATATAGTTTTGTATATACATATTAATTATTTATAAATTTACATTTTTATTTGACATATTCAAAAACTGATTTAAATTTATTTTATCTTAAATTTTGGCCACTCTAAGCACAACAAAGTTGTGTTTCATACATTCAGAGTTCGTCATGATGAATGTGGCTTTCATATATTGTCTCTACGTGCTTCAAGTGCCTAATAAAGTTTGATCAAATAGGGTTTTTTCAATTCATCAATAATTTATGGTAAATTCACGAAATTCTATAAAAAGTCTATGAGCAGACGGCTTAGAGCTGTACAGTTCATTGACTTTGAGCTTAGCCGATGGCACGCAATAAAAGCGAGCTTTAGGTCAGTTAAAATTATGCTGATATTGCCCAAGACCTGGTCCACATAGAGTTTTATTGGAAACCTGTTTGAGGACTTTGAGCTGCCAACGGCATGATGCGGCATTCTGTGCGCGAGATCTTAGTTAGCAATTCAATGCATCGGAAGCGTAGTTTACATAATTCTGAGCTCAATGTCAATATTGGAAGTGCCTTGAAAAACTCCAAAATATATATATAAAGAGAGAAACAAAAATGAAATCGAAATCGAAATAACAGCGAGTCATTGGGCAATTAGTAGGGTAAAAATATTATATTAAATTTGACGGCTTTTCATATGTGAAAATTGAGCACTAAACGAAGGCTATTGCATAGCTAATTAATTAAAAGCCAAATAAAAATTAAATACCACAAATTTGAAAGATATTAGAAGTCAGGCATGTGCAATTAGCATCGAGTTGTCAAAAGGGGGGAAAAAACTAGAAAATATCCACTTTTATCTGGGGCAGTAGCTTATCGATGCACGAAAGCGAAAACGAAGACGCAGCTTGTCCTTGACCGTGCAGCTAAATTCATTTAAGACTTCAAATTTAAATAACATGATAGAAAAATTTTCAAATTTGATAAAAATAATCAAAGCAACCACAGCAAGCCCAACAATTTGACTAGCCGCAGACTCTAACAAATCTTTTATTGTATGTCGAATTACTTTTCAACGCGGCCTTGACACAAATACACACACACACAAGCACAAACGCGCGTCGAACAAATCACTAAAAATGATCAAAATTAATCTCAAAGAAAAAGAAAAAAACTGAAATAAAATAAAATAACCACAGCTAAGCAGTTTTTGCCACAATGCGCCTGGGACCTTAGGCAACCACCAACAAAAATAAGAAAAGAAACAAAAAATCGAAAAAAAATGTAGCGAGATAAAATCATGTGTAGCTTACAGATATTCGCGTAATTAGCTAATAATTTGTTGAAGGGCCTCTGCCAACACGCGCGACAGCAGATCAAGGCAGTCCAGTAAGCCAACTACACGTGTAAATACCAAACGGGACATTTACCAACTCCTCCTTGACTCTATTAATGAAACAATTAGCTACACATTGAGATATTTCATTGCCCATTTTATTATTTATTGTACTGGTTTTACCCTAATTAATATCAATTTTCGAATTATTAACAGCCCCTAATATGTAATACGAATGTAATTATGTATTACCCACATCATAATCGTTGAGAGCAATATTATAAAAACCCTGTGCATTCAAATTATCAAGATACTACTTATCATTATTATCATTATTCTACATAGAAATCATTTTTTCATTTTCCTCTGTATAATCATTATGAAAGTCCCTTAATTTTCATTACCATTAACATTGATAACATTACTATTATCATTCTGATTATTAGAATATTTTTAATTATCATTATAATTTTAATTATAATTATCAGCAGTATCATCAACTATTAGCACATTAATAGGGAAATAAATTTATGATAATCCACCAGGCAGAAGGAAGTGTCACAGATCCCAAGATCAAGCTGCTTTGTCCATCATTCGTATATGCGAATGTGTAACCCTATAAGAGCTACAGACTAAAGATACCTATTTTCTTGTCAATGTTATCAATACAAATACGTTATCGATAATTTAAAAATTAAGCTGTAATAGTATATCCCCTACATCATTGATGCAAGATATACAATTTTGAGATACATATATACTTTCAGTACCAAACTCAAACTTTTACAAAACTCTCATTTGAAGGTCAGTTGCAAATTAAGCAACTATTGAATGAGTTGGCATTTTGTTAACTGTCAAAAACTCAAAAGTATATTTAATTATGCTGAAAGTTACATTAAAGTCCGTTAGGTCAACAGAAATTAAGCAAAACGTTTGGTCAATCAATAAACGCGCATGGCAGCAGCAAACAAAGATTGCCCATGCGTGTGCACACGTACACTCAAACCTTCGTTTTGCTTATTTTTCTATACATGTACACGCATACATTCATAAATTCGTTTTTATCATATTTTTAGAATCCCTTTTGCGATTGAGTTGCATTAAAATTTGGCTAGAGCTACTCGGTTCTATTATGGTAACGGCGAAAAAGGATGATAACTAGCTATGGAGCATAGCTAAAATCTAAGAAAATAAGAGCTGCTAAGGACCCCCGATATCAAGATATGATTGAAACGACAACTGTCGCGTTTTCAGTTATTTTACTACTACCAAAGTGCATTTAAATTTATTTTGTTCTGAATATAATAAAATATAGGGAAATTGTCGGTTATCTGTGTTAAGAATTTGTTGTCGATGGATGGTTCTCTTCTTCTAACTTAACATCAATCCTCGACAACTAATTTGAGATTCACTCATTTGGCAAGCTCTGTTTTGGGTTCCTTCCTCTCGTGATTTATTCTCATTCAGTATGTTTGCTTCAAGTAATGAACATTGCTGAAGTTCTGCCACGCATCGCACACGGTCTGCCGGCCGTAGCCAGTGTATTCGCTGTGCGGTGTGAAATGGGTATTAACGGTGAGCGTATTGGAAAAGCTATCGATCGGTGTACGCATGCGGCTCAGCTTGTTGGACCGGAGGGTCATCTTAAAGCGTGGCGGCTCTACGCACTTTTTCGCATTTTTGCTCTGGCATTGGGTTTTTCGGGCGATTGCCCGATTAATGCCATCAAACCGTTTGTAGACAGGCCGTGGCAAGCCCTGCCAGGCAAGTTTTGGGCGTGGCATCTGCTCCGGCAATTCCATATCCTCCAATTTCTCCTCCGCCCTACGTTCACTGTACTTTGTCTTTGGTGACTTGAACACGTGCGACTGCAGCAAGGACAGCGGCCGTTTCCTGTTGACAGTCTTCAGCCTATTGAAATCGTTGATCAGCATAATTTGCTTCTCCATTCCGCTGGGCCGACGGCGCTCGGGCTTCAACTGATCGGCAGCGGTTCGCTGTTGACTGGGGTAATTTACCGGACGCACAGGAAACTGAACTGGCGCTGCTGTCACCTGCTGCGAGTGGGTCTGGAAACGGCGCACGGAGCTGTCGTAGGGCAACGTTGGCTTGATGAAGCCGCGACGGTCACTCTTCTTATAGCCCGATGAGCTCTCATCGTCTTCCTCGGCGGTCTCGGCCTCAGCCTTTTCGGCATCCAAGCGTCTGCGCTCATCCGGACAGGTGGTCCAGCTGTGCCAGTACTTGGCCTCCTCCTCTTCAGCCTTCCGCGCCAGCCACTCCTTGCTAGCAGAGCTCATGGTGGACGGCGAGCTTGGCTCAGAGCCTTCAGATTTGGGAAGGTTGTAGCCTTTGCGAGATTCGCGTAATTCCCGCTCTTGACGTGTCTTCTCCTTCAGGCGCTGTTCGCGACGACGTTTGCTATATTCCTCGGCGCTCTGATCCTCGTTACCTCCCCGTCGTTTGCGCTGCTGGCCGGGCTTCTCGTCTCCGAATATCTGATTGACGCGCTCGTATTGAAGTGCAGCTGGCGACTTGGGCTCAACACGATTCTGCCATCTGCGTTTGTTCTCCTCGATGATGCGCTCCTGCCGACGCTGATGATCGCTCGTATCCTGGGTGATCATACGCCTAGACTCTGGATCCCTCATACCCGTTTGGCTGTCAATCTGATCAAAGCTATCCCCCTGCCGTTCGTAGCTGTTGTGTGGCCGAGAATCGTAGCTTGACTCGTCGCTGTACTTTTGGTTCATCTGCTTGATGGCATCGTCAGCACGCATTGCCGTCCAGTCTTGTGGATCATCGGACCGAAAGTGACGGATCTGATGATCACAGCCCATGGAGCCAATGGAGCTCTGAAGGTCCCTTGGTATTCGCGAGACCCCGAACTGCCGAAACATTCGCATACAAAGCTTCAAGCCTTTTACCATATTCATTCTGATGCAGAACCTAAATTAGTTAACTTTACTGAATTTTGATATACTTTATAAAACTTATTTTTGATTGGACTTCCAAAAAAAAGAGACCAAAATTTTGTGAACTGTATTTCCCCAAAGCTGAACTTATACTAACGACTGTACACATAAAAGCTGAAAGACTAATGTCTCCCATTACAAATCAGGCAAAGCAGATTTACTCAGGGCCTGCTCAACGAAGTGACAGATTGCCTCAATGCTATCACACCTACTATGAGAAATCTATCGCTAGGTTTAGTTTCTCATAAACGAACACTCTATTGAATGATCGAATTTCATTTTGTACAGTCTCTGTGTCTCAAAGACAAAGTCAGTTGGTATAGGGTTCTGTTAAGGGAATGCTTTTATAAATGATCCTGTCATATAAATGATCTGCTGTTCATTTTTCCTTAATCTCCCTGTGTCAATGTCTATGAGAATTTCACAAAAGAAGATGAAGAAGGTTCTCATTGGTAAATGATCCTCTCATATAAATGACCTGTTGATCAATTTACTTGTATAGTTTCTCTGTCTCAATTTCATAATTTCACAAACAAAAACAACTCTTGAAAGACAAAATTGTATCATATTTGATGTAAAAGATCTCATGATCTCATGCTCTTATGATCTATTGATCATACATTTTGCGTAGCTTCTCTGAGAGATTCAGATGAATTTTGAAGCCTCTAAATATTTTCAATTTCTCATTCTTTCTCCTTTGCTCTCTCCCTCTCTCTCTCTCTCTCTCTATCTCTTCCCCAGTTCATAACCGTTGATACATCCAGCAGCAAATTGGCGCCACCTACAAACCTAGAGCCCTATACCATGGCCGTCATTGCGGAGCATGGTAAGAGCAGTCGCCAAAACGTAACGAGCGAAAGTAACGGCAAGATCGGCGTTACCAAATCGGACTCTGAATCCGCGCCGCATCCCATTCAGCGGCAGCTGAGCAATGCATTGACCATACCCGAGTTCTTTGCGCATAAGAACATTTTTGTGACCGGCGGCACAGGATTTTTGGGCACAGTGCTGATCGAGGCGCTGCTGGACACACATCCCGACATTGGAACCATCTACGTGCTGGTGCGCGGCAAACGCAATCAGGATCCCAACGAGCGCATAATTCGCTTGCTCCAGAAGCCGGTGAGTAGCTGGGGCTCTTGAGCCAAGCTCAAGCTGAGCCCCTTTGCCTCTTTGCCACGCCCCGTACCGCACTTTGACACCTGGCTGACCCATTTACTGGCCCGGGCCCCATTATCTTGAGACAATTACCGGCCGTCTTTATTGCGCGTTAATTTGTCGAAGCTGAAGTGCCTTCCGCTCGGGCGCCTCGGTCTGACTCTTAGCAACTCTTTGTAATGCCAACAATTTTATAACCGTACCTGCACCGCATACCTGTACACATACACACATGTATATGCTTCTTTCGGCCCACTCGCTTGGCTCTTTTCCATCATTATAATTTTAAACGCATTTTTAATAGCATAATAACAAATTGTGTTTCGGTTTTATTTCTACTTTTACTCACTCTTAAGCATGCTCCAACATAAAAAAAAAAAAAAAAAAAAAAAAAAAAAAAAAAAAAAAAAAACAAAAAATTTTTTTAAAATAAAATGAAGCTACAAAATATTCTTTA